ATTTCAATTTATCGCTCAGACCTACAACAATGCGATGTGTGTTGAGTCCACTGAACCCTGGAATTAAAAAATGTCACTCAGAAATGGGATTTGGTTAGAAAACTTTATGAGCATTTTTTCAATTTTGATTGAATATTTAAAATATTTTTTATAACTGTGCATGAAAAATATTCTTAAAAAACCAAAAGCTTTTATTAATGGTTGATCATGATTTCAAAAGTAAAATATTCTGAAATTGCTGCAAAAGCTCTTAGAAAATGTGACTACAAACATTTATGATTTTAACCCGAAAATTCTCTATAAATCATTCTTTAAATATCCATATTTTTAGGCTCCAAAAGCCATTTAAAAAGAATTGAAATATATGATTTAAAACAAAATGCCTTGATTTTTTTAAATTACGAATTCGAATTCAATAATCCTTGAAAATATTCTAAAAGGAGGCCACGATTTTGTTTCAAAAGTCCGTGAAAAAGCATCCCCAAAACAATCGTTTTAGCTTCAACATTTCTATAAATTTGATAATATTAACAATAATCCTCAAAAATGCATGATTATGGCCTAAGAAGTCCTTGATAAGGAATTATTTCACATTTCACATCAAAATCCAAAATCCACGTTGTAAATTACAACACTTTTTTATTTTCGTGCAATTAATTTTTAACCCAATTCACATTTTTAAAATCCAGGTTTAACAGGATTAAACTAAATTTCCGATACACGAGTTAATGAAAAAAAACGTGATTTCACTCGAAATTTCAATAATTTATTTTATGGGAATAAAAAAATTTACAATTTTTTATTTATGACCATTTTTTTGTAAATTTTGAAAAGCTGTTTTTTCAAGTCAATTTAAATTATGGTTTGTAAATTACAAAAATGATATCATATTATAATTGAATAGTAACACCATTTCAATTTGTCGCTCAGACCTACAACAATGCAGTATGTGTTAAGTCCACTGAACCCTGGAATTCAAAAAATGCCATAACGAAATATATTTGTGTTAGAAATCGCCATGACAAAAATTCTCAATATTTATTAAAGCAAAAGTGTTAATATTTGGTAAATAATCCTTGATTTTGGTTTGAAAAGTGGCTGAAAAAATATACTCACGAATCCCCGTCCATGAAAAAAAACATCCTTAAAAATCCAAATCCTTGAATTTTTAATAAATATTTTATTTTTTTTATTTCTTTAGGTTCCCAAACATACATTTTTTCTAAAAATAATAGATTTGTGAATTTTATTAAATTACTTTTTATTCGTAAATTTGTAAAAAAAAAATATTCTTTATGAATTTTGTTAAAAAATAACGTCTTTAAAATTAAAAACAAGAGATGTTTAGTGTTTAATATATTATTTTACTTCATGAACTTTATTTAAACATTTTTAGTGAGGACTATTTTTGTATCTTTTTAATGTAATATTTTTTAAATTTTTTATTTTAAAATATTTTTAATTTTATTTATATTCTTGGGAATCCCACTTTATTGCCAAAAATACACATTTACTGACCTTGTCCCTGTTTTTTTTTTGCCTAAATACTCTTTAAAACGGATCATAAAAAATATACTTCATAACAATTCTTCAAATAGAGTCGGGGAATAACTTAAATGCCTCGAACCAGTTCCCATTAAACTTTCCTGGCTAATTAATTTTGTCGAATTACATGGCATTATTTGGTATAATTAAAAGATTACTGATTAATTTCAGAAGAATTTTTTTTTTACTCATAAGCATCTTTATCAATGCCACAGGTTTTAGTTTGACACGTGCTTGTTATTATCAAATATCATTTATTGATTGTTTGAATAACTTCGGCATAACTTTGACATATAAAAATGTGACAACACACACACACAGGCAGACAGCAATGCATTATGGGAGTCAATTACAAAAAAATAAATAATTTAAAAAAATCTTATAATTTAATTGTTTTAATTGAGTTCGTTGTGGGAAATGAGTTTTAGTTTGAGGTTTTTTAAAACAAATTTTTGAAACATGTATTTCAAATGTGTTTAAAAAAAAAAAAATTAAAAATATTTTCAAATTTAAGTATTAATTTTTTTTCTCTTTAAATTTTTCAAAATTTTTGGGAATTTAAAATTATATATTTTTGAGCATTTTTAAATATATTTTATTCGTATTTTTAAAATATTTCTAATATTTATACCCTCATTTGATATGACCAAAACGTGCCTCATCGAAATAACAGTCTTAGACCCTACGTCTTTTTGGATAAACTTCGTTTCAGGACATTTGGAGTCGATATAGAGGTATCCGCACGTCTGTTTGTTTGTGATGGTCAATATCGCTCCACTCCTTTTGGTACCTTTCCCAGAAAAGGTTGACATTTTCAAAGAAAATAGTTTACCTCATAGAAAGAGAAAGAATTGCCCGATTTTGTTCAAGCAGTACATATCCTAATATTTTTATCAGAGCTAGGGCATTTGTGAAAATTGACAATATTGGCCCACTCCAGCAAGTACCAACCGATTATTTTTACTAACGCAGGATCTGGTGTGAAGATGGGATATATCGGCGCACTACTTCTGGTACTTCCCGTTCAAAGTTATTATAATTTTTAATAACCCAAATTATCATAAAATCCAAAACGAGCATCTGATTCTTTCTAAAATTCACACATTCTAACATTAGATCTGGTGTGACTTCGATGTATCGTCTAGCCAATTCCTTCTCAAAGGGTCACAATTTTTATTACTTATAATTGTCATAACTCGTGTCACCGATTCTTTTCGAATTTGATATTTCAATGTATTTCCCAAGCAGAGATCTATATTCACATATAGAATTCATCGGGCCCTACTTCATCAGCGAAAAGTTCACCTTTTAATTTTTGATTCTTCCCAACAACAATTTAGTACCCTTTAGTACTTTTCAAACAGTTCCCTTTAGACACCAACAGCGACATGTATACCAAATTTCAGGATTTCAGCTCTGTCCCTTCATTCAATACCATATTTTTGTACAATTAAGTACTTTCAGTAATCTAAAATAATTTCAGAATTTTATCTCTACCCCCTCAACCCAATATTAAATTTAACACTATTTAGTACTTTTCATAGAATTATAGTACACATTCCCAAAACCACCTCCATAATTTTACCACAGAAACCAACAGTGACTTTTAAATCAAGTTCCAGAATTTCATTTTCAATGTTTCAAAACTATCTCCATATCTCAATTCCAGACGCCAACAGAGTCCTCAATATCAAATTTGGGGATTACAGCTCTGTCTCTTCACCAATACCAAATTTAGTACCACTTAGTACTTTTCGTAGAAAAATAGGACGCATTTCCAAATCACCGTCAAATTTCAACCACAGATACTATCCATAATCTAAATATTAAATTTCGGAATTTAATCCCTCCATTTAATACAAAATATAGTACCATTCGGTACATTTCGCACAATTATAGTACACATTCCCAAAATCACCTCCATATGCCAAGGCAAAACACAAACAGTAACCGTAATACAAAATTTCAAACTGCAAGCACTATCTGCTCACCCAATACCGAATTGTACCAAATATAGTACTATTTAGTACCTTTCATGTGCCTATATTACATTTTTTTAAAACCATATCATTATCAAAAATCTAATTCTAACTGGGACTTGATTCTCAAGTTTTTAGCTCTGTCCGTACCATTTGATATGGTGCCATTTTAGAAGTTTATTATCATTTTAAAACTTTTCGTAACGTTACATTTCAGTTTTCCAAAAATCGGTGGCTCTTATTCCAAATTCCAGAAACTGTGACATCTGTATCAAATTCCAGTATATCAGCTCTGTTCCTTCTCCAAATTCACATTTCACATCCACATTCACAAAACCACCTCTTTATCACAAGCCTACCACTAACTGGGACCCCAATAAAAAATTCAACATTTCTGCTTTATCTCTTCGATCTTCACCAAACTGTCCAAACCTTGATGCTCATACCAATTTTTAAGTTTTTAGCTCTATACGTCCACATAATATCAAATGGTACCATTTAAGAAGTTTAGTACCATTTTAGAACTTTTTGTAACCTTAAAGTTCTAATTTCCTAAAACGCCTGTGTACATCTATCCTGCACTCCATTTCAAATTTCAGAATTATAGCTCATTCCGTTTGTCCAAAACAAAGTATTTAATTTTTGGTACATTTTAGTACTTTTCGAAGTGCGAATTTCTAAAAACCCAGCCTTATCGCAAGCCTACGCACCTCGTGCAAAATTTCAGGATTCGAGCTTCAGCTGTTTCGTCTGGGGCGTTTATTCTCGGTCAGTCAGTCAGTAAGTTATTTCATTACTCTCTGATAGATAATCGAACTATGAATGGCTGAGGGTATACATCTGTCTACAAAATTGATTTATATTTTTTTAACTTGTTGAAAAACACTTAATTTTTTTTTATATAAATATTTCTAGGTATTTCTAAAATTCCTTTTATTCGCTTATATTTAAATTTTTTAAGTGATTTTTTATATATATTTATTTTATATATATTTGTATATTTATTTATAAAATATTTTTCCATTACCGTTCTCACATCGTAACACTGTGCCATTTATTGTGAAATCACGAACACCAATCAAAATTGAAGCCAAACATAATTAACATACGGCTAAATAGAGCCAACAGCGCTAACGGAGCCCAGCCAATTCGATGAGAACTCTTCTCTTTTGGCTGCAATGCATGCGGCAAAACCAAGCGAAAATTACACAAATTCACGGCGAATTGAAGAAACAAAACAAAATTGACTTTTTATAAGAGAGCCAACATTTGTTGTCTTCAAATCAGTCTTTCGCCGACACACACAACGCGTAAATCGTACGGATCGAACGAAACGCTGGCGTGAAATAAATAAATGTTTTGAAAAAAATATATATTATTTTTGTTTATAAAAAAAAATGTGGTTATTTATTAATTAAAATCACAAAGCAATAAAATAATAATTAAAAGTGATTAATAAAAAATATATAAAAAATTAAAATAAGTAAAAATAAAGTGCTAAAATATCGGAATAAATCCAATATTCTTGAATTTGCATTTGAAAAAGAAAAAAAAAAAATAAATATAAGTGCATATATTTACAATTTTATGGGATTGGTGAATTATTCATTCAACTGGTGCATATTTTGAAAAAAATCCAAATAAATAACAAGAATATAAGAATTGTGTATATATTTTCTACACACATACCAATCTATATTTATATATAAAAAACAACGTCCATTTGTTTGCACTTGCATACTTCGTATGTGTGTGGCTACATGTCTGTAAGCCATAGAGTAGTGTTCTTGTCGTTTCTGTGTCCAGTGCGTGTGTAAAAGAATTAAATTTTTGAATTTGTTTGTATTCAGTTTTGAACATTAAGTTCAAAATACAACAAGATTGGCGGTTTCGTGACCAACTGAACGACATACCGACCGAGAGACCAACCTGCCGGCCTCTTTTACTCTCCGCTGCGGCTTCCGTTTACATCTTGCTATTGCTGTTGTTGTTGCTTGGTGGCTATCGCCACTGTCACGTTCTTGCCCACATTTTCCATCGTCCATCAGCTGGCCGATTGACTGTCTGGCCGGCTTCGTTTTGACCATTTGCTGTTGTTGCTGCTGCCGTGTGCCCGGTGTTCTTCTGCAGGAAAAAAAGGTTTATTGTTTGTCTTTCTTTTACTTTGTTGTTCTTATTACCTTTGTTTTTTTTTTTTTTTTTTTCTTACAATTGTTGCCCTTTTGTATGGGGCGGTTTTATTTTATGTTTTGTCTAGAATATTTCTCTTTGTTTATAAGTTGTGCTGTTTATAGGAACGTTGTGTCATTTTGTTGCAGTCACCTTGAAATGGGGGAAATATTATTGGAAATTTGCCAAATTTTGAGAGAAATTGAATTGAAAACAAAAACAAACGAGGGAGAGAGAGATAAACGTAAAACAATAGTTTTTTTTCTGATAAAAAAAAAAAATAAACAAATATATAAACTTAAAAAAAGAAAACTATTCGGAATTGAATATAATAATAAAAGAGTAGTAAAATATCAACATCAACGCTCAGACGGAACTGCATAGACATTTTTTGTCTTAGGCTGTAGTATTTATTGCAAACTTCAAATACCATATTTGGTATGGTATGCAGGATATATATACCAAAGGGTTTTTAGAAACTCGAACTTAAAGGTTACGAAAATTTATAAAATTATACCAAATTTCTAAAGTGGTACAATTTGGTACTATGTGAATGTGTGGAGCTAAAAACTTGCTGTTTAGAATGAGAATCAAGGTTGGAAAGAAAGATTGATGCATGAAAGTGGTTTTGGAAATGCGTACTAAGTGTGCGAACGGCACTAAATTTGAAACAGTTTGGTTAAGGGTGAATCCACGCAGCAGGGATTTTGTATTGAGTCCCTGTTGGCGCGACTTTGGTGAATAAAAGCTGGTTTAGGAAATGTGTACCTTAAGTTCAGGAAAAGTACTAAATAGTTCTATATTTAGTACAATTTGGTATTGGGTCATGTGCAGCCTGGACATATCGACATGGTTTCGGAAATATGTTTTATAATTGTACAAAAAGGATAAAGATAAATTTCTGAAATTTGATTATTAGATTACTGATTATATCTGTGTTTGAGATTTGGCGATGGTTTGGAAATGCATCCTATATTTTTACGAAAAGTACTAAATGGTCCTAAATTTGGTATTGAGTCGGGAATCTTAAAATTTGATATTAGGGTTTCTGTTGGTATCTGGAATTGAGATGTGGAGGTAATTTTGGAAATGTGTACTATCATTGCTAAATTGCTAAATGCTGCTAAATTTGGTTTATTGGGTTAAGGGATAGAGCTGGCATCACAAATTTGAAATTGGGTCCCTCTTGTATGCAGGTGATTTTGGAAATATTTACAATAATTTTATGAATGAATGTCAGTGTTGGTGTCTGTAGTTTAAAGAAGGGGTGGTTTTGGAAATACGCACTATAAAAATGCTAAATGCCACAACAATTTTGCCATTGGGGTTGGGATAGATATTAAATTCCAATATTTGCTATCGAGTTGGTATCTGGTGTTGTTCGAAAAGTACAAAATGTTATTATTTTTCGACCACTGTTGGTGCCTAGGATGGAGAGGAAAGGGGGCTGATAAATTTCATAATCACTTCATATCTGGTTAATATAAATATGTAGACATGCCAAGTTTGAAATAAATCGCTGATTTTTTGCAAGTTTTGAGGGAAAAGAATTGAAAATTGTTACCCATTGTGGGAGAAGTACCAGAAGAACCATCTTCATACCTAATATTGTGTTGGTAGAAATATTAGGAGGTGCCCAGTTTGAAAATAATCGGATGCACATTTCGCGTTTTATGAGCTTCATGATTATTCAAAATGTTGAGCCGTTTGTGGGGGAGGAGTGGATCGATATCTACCATCTTCACACCAGTTAATAAAAAATATTGTGATGTATAAAATTTAAAGATAATCGAATGCATATTTGGCATTTTATGAGAGTTATAATTATTCAAAATTTTGAAGCGTGGTCGGGGAGGTTCCAAATAGGTGGAGTCCGTTCTATCCGTTCTTTATACCATTTTATATGTTGATAGAAATATTGATATGTGCAAGATTTGAAGACAATTATTTTACATTTTATAAGAATTATGATTATTCAGAATTTTGTCCCTTTGAGGATGGATAATTGCTGGCTTGTGCAGCAGTTTTTGCACCTGACTTAGCTCTATTAAAAATATTAGGATTTGCAAAGTTTGCAGAAAATTTAATGATCCTTTCTTTTTCTTTAAGTAAAATTATTTTCTGAAAATGTTGACCTTTTGTGGGGGAGGTACCAGAAGAAATGGACCGACATTGCCCATTTCCGAACTCAAACTAAGTCTGATAATAATATTACGATGTACCAAGTCTGGTCCAAATCGGACACTTATTTCGAGAGTTATCGTGGGCACCAACCAAACGGACAGACGGACATCGCTAGATCGACTCCAAGTGTCCTAAAAAGGATTTTGTCCAAAGAGACCCAGGCCTTAAAATTGTTATTTTGATGAGGGACGTTTTTGAAGTGTCAAATAATATATATCCCTCTGTCGCTATATGGTTGATGGTATAAAAATTCCAAAGTTCATTATGTCCATGCCGGTTCTAAGCATGCACATTGTCACAAACATACTGTAAACACATACATACAGTACATATGCTCCACTGTCCACATGAACAGATAATTATTTCTGTGCATTTATTTTCGCAATGTCTTTTATCTTCTTTAGAGCGAATTTCGCTATCAGGCCACTACCAGACAACTGCGAAAATATATAGGTCATCTCGTATGATCAGCTGTTGTTAATAGTTTATGTATATTTTTTGTATGTGCAATCGAAAAATGTAGAAAACAATAGTTTAAAAAAATAGTTAAAAAATAATAGAAAATCCACGAATTACAAAATTTTTATTTTTGTTTTTTTTTTTTTTTTTTAATTTTCGAGTCAAAAATGATTTTACAAAGTTCTCGAATTATTATTATTTTTTATATTTTATTATTATTTTAAATCCAAAAGCTGATGACCCCTCGTGTCTGAAGATTCTCGCTTTGTGAGAACAGAATTTTTAGAATAAATGCATTAATTATTTTCCCTTCTTTAAAAATTTTTTACCCTTTTTAAATTACCCTTTTCTGTTTGCCATTGACATATTTGGGGCGTATGAGTCGATATTTACATAAATATTTTTCTCTCTTCCAATTGCGTGTGACGCATTTCGATCAGATGATGCTTGTAAAATCTTTTTTTTTTTTTACACATTTGCCTGCCCATGAATCAATTTGTTTATGTGAATGTATATTTAGCCTTATTTTGAAAATAAAAATAAACATTCAATAAAGTTCTTTGTTTTTGTTTTGTTCAATAACACTAGACAACAAATATTTGCCAGCTGGCGTGTGTTTTTTTTTTTGCAAATGCAAGGTAATGGAATATTTTCATAACCACAAAAAAAAAAGATAGAAAGAAAAAAACATCTAGAAGGAAATAATCACCAAAAACCAAAAAAATATTCAAAATTGTCGTGTGTGTAGGTCAGTTTTATGGCATTTCGTGTGCATGTGATTTTCTCGTTGCAAACAAATTTTGAGATTAGAAACAAATTTGAAGTACTTTCATTTGTATCAGTACTTGAATTGGGGGTTGTTATCACAAAACTAACAATTTGATATGAAATCTCACGCTATATGTGTTCAGGAATTTATAAATAAAATGTACTGGAATGGTGCATGGGTTATGGTCATTTTCGGACTCTCCAACTAGGTTATGGCAACATAATTATTCTTTTCTATAGGAAAATATTTGTAATTATTTTTTTTCTTTTCAATTATTTATTATTTATGACAATTTCAAAATATAATCGGGTCATTGGTATTCCTGATTAAAAAAAATAACTTGATCCTTAATCAATAACAATATACTGCTCAAAGCAATAACATGTGCGCATAAAGATCTGTCATTCTTGCAAAAAATATTTTTAAACATTTTTCAAAAAAAAAAAAAAAAAAAAAAAAAAAAAAATACAACATTTGTACAGACAGACCTTGCAAAAGATATTCTTATATAGCTTGCCTTAGAAAAAAAATAAAAAATTTAATATTCAGTGTCAGGAAATTTATGAAAATTTGGTGTAAAAATGTACTTAAATTTGGATTCTTCAAATTTTTAAAATTAGCCCTTAACCGTATTTCTAAAAATTTGATCGCGAACAAAAGTTCTTAAGAATTGGTCATTGAAAACAAACTCTAAAAAATGGGTTTTAAAAAGATAACTGTTTCTTATTCGATATAAGATATTGCTACAAGTAAACAAATGTGCACACATAATGAAGTGTAATTTTTGTAAAATATACAAAAAAAAAAAAAAACATTTTTCAAAAAAAAAAAAAAATTGCACGACATTTATACGGAAAGACCTTGCAAAAGATATTTTTATAAAATAGTATTTTTAGCTTAAAAAAAGGAAAAAATCTTATATTCCGTGTTCGAAAATTTATGAATATTTTGTGTAAAAATATTCTTAAAACTTAATCATTGAAAAATTATTTCCAACAATTGGTCCTAGAAAAAAAAATGTATTCCTAAATAAAAAATTGTCTGCGATCAAAAACTTTTAAGAATTGAACATTGAAAGAAAATATTCGTAAAAATGTGTTTTTAAATTACATTCTTTGAAATTGGCCTTTGAAAAAAATATTGTTAAAAATTGGTTATTGAGAAAATATTTCTAAAAGCTGGCCTAGAAAAATATTTTTAAAAATTCGTTCTACAAAAAATTTGAAAAATGGTTCCTTATGAAATATTTTCCAAAAATGGCCCTTCCTTCAAAAATTCTTAAAAATAGATTAAAATTGACCTTTGAAACATTATATTTTTGCCCTTGTGAAAAAGTTAAAAAAAATTATATTCAGGAAATTTATGAAAATTTGGTGTAAAAATATACTAAAATGTCTATCCTTGAAAAAATGTATTTCTAAAAAAAATGTCCTTGAAAAAATGTATTCCAAAAAATTTGTCCGTGAACAAAAATTTATAAAAATTGATCCCTGTAGGAAACCCTCTTAAAAATTAAGTTTTAAAAGTACATTACTCGAAGTTGGTCCTTAAAAGAATA